GGAAGAAGCCATTCCTCGTATTTATGGTCTCCTCAAAATCCACAAGAAAGGAGCTCCACTCAGACCCATCATCAGCAGCATCAATTCAGTCACTTACATCGCCAAACACCTGGCCTCCATCCTTTCACCATTGGTTGGGGACACACCTCACCACATAGCCAACTCACAGGACTTCACCAACAAGTTAAGGGGAGTAAAATTGGACACAAATGAGACCATGGTCTCCTACGATGTCACATCAATTTTTACATGTATCCCCACCAACGAGGCAGTAGAAACAGTGAGGATGCGCTTTTTCACCCTACCGGTAAGAATCAACCTGAGCATTGACCACATTTGTGCCCTTTTGGATTTCTGCCTCACCACCATCCATCCAGTTCAACGAGTCTTTCTACAGACAGAAGCATGGCTGCGCTATGGGCTCTCCTGTGTCTCCCATATTGGCGAATCTCTACATAGAGGAAGTGGAGAGCCGAGCTCTACATTCCTACGTGGGAACATCACCCAGCCACTGGTTCCGATATGTGGACGACACTTGGGTCAAAATCAAGGTCCATGAGGTCGACAACTTCACAGACCACATCAACTCGGTGGAGAGAATATGTGAAAAACAACAGTCTTGCATTCCTGGAATGTAGGGTTCACATCACAGAAGACTCAACATAGAGGTGTACAGGAAACCAACCCACACAGACCAGTATCTCCGATTTGACTCACACCACCCACTGGAGCACAAATTAGGAGTCATCAGAACCCTACAGTCACGGGCAGACACCTTTCCCACCACCAACAGAGGTAAGATGAGAGAACAGGGACACATTAGGACGGCTCTCAAGACCTGTGGCTATCCCAGATGGGCTTTTAAAAAAAAAAACGAACAAAAAGAGGCCCACAAAGAGGGAGGACAACAGGAGGAGGGGCAATGTTGTCTGTCAGGAACGTCAGGCTTTGGACCCAAATGCAACACACCGAGACAGAAAGGTCTTTTAAAGGTTTACTCAGGGTTCTGCACATATAAACACGTGTCCTGGCAATACAAAGCCTTCAACAAAAAGTGTCTCCACTTGAAATAGAGGAAGTCTTTTAAATAAACATGGAGAATAAATACACGTGTGTGGGTAGTGAAGGGTCTTTCAACAAAAGGTGTCTCCACTTGAAATAAAAGGAGGTCTCAGGAATAAGCGTAGAGTATTGATGATTAACACAGTCTTATAACAAAGGAAGTCTCCGCTTGGAGCAATAAGTCTCTTTGATGGACGCAATCTCACAGGAGTGACGTCACCGTGGCGGATTCCCTCTGGGCTGGGGAGCAGCGGAACTCAAGCGGGGGGGCAGAGCCGAAAATAGCAGAAACTCTCCTCAACAAGACGGGACGACTCTCGTCCACAGAGCAGGTAAGAAAGGGCGTGGATCGTCACCACAAGAAAGGCTTGAGCAGCAGAAAATCTCCACAACAGGAAACTGACATGCAGCCCTCGCAAACAGACATACACATTATCATGATTTAAAAAGACGAGACGATATGACTGCAAAGAGTGTGTGGCTGCAGCTTAAATATGCTGCTCACTCATCAGCGACAGCCGGTGAGAGCAGGTGGAACCAATCGCTTGATTGCACTGCTGCAGCAGGTATGACAGTTGTCATTGCATACATTTCAGGAGTTTAGGAAAAACTTAGGAGGATCTTTAACCAACACCAGATCCCAGCACACTTCAAACCTGGCAACACCCTAAGACAAAAACTGGTTCATCCCAATGACAAGACTCAAAGAAACAAGCTGGACAATGTGGTTTATGCCATTCAGTGCAGTGAGGAGTGTACTCACCTGTACGTTGGGGAGACTAAACAACCACTACACAGGCGCATGGCCCAACACAGGAGGGCCAACTCCTCAGGACAGGACTCAGCTGTTCACATACACCTCAAGGACAAAACACACTCCTTTGAGGACAACAATGTACACATATTGGTTAGGGAAGACAGATGGTTTGAGAGAAGGGTAAAAGAAGCCATTTTTGTCAACCTGGAAAAACCATCACTCAACAGAGGTAGACTCAGACACAACCTTCACCCACTTACAAAGCACTTTTAGGAACAACGACCAAAAGATTCACCTCAGTTTCACATAACAAAGAGGCAGGTGACTGAAACCTTTCTGATGAGGACCACAACGACCCATCAGACTCTTAACGACTGTAAGGCCCCACTCAACAGGGTGGACCTGAAATAGCTTTATTCTTTCACACATATAAAGTACTTTATACTTATATTTTTATATATACTATATATAAGTTATATATACTGTATATATTTATAACTTTCATCAGATGCATCTGCCTGACATTCATTTTCTCTCTCTAGCCTCCAGCTCCTTCCATGAAATTTAAAGTAAAACTGCTGCTGCTCTGTGGGGAGCTTTAATGATCACTCAGTCCTGAACTCCAGGTTAGCATTAAATGCAAGTGTGTGTACGTGCCTCAGCCTGGGCAGATGTGGTTCAATGCGGTGTGAAATTGGGCTTCTGGGCCACTCTTTCGCCAATGAGCTGAGCTCACTTCTCTCTCCCTCTGCCTTCCTCCCTCCCCTGACTCTCTTTCTTTCTCTCTCGCTCTCTCTTTGTCTCACACACACTCACTCTCGTTACATTCCCATCTCCCATCCATCCTCCAATTCCTATATATTAAAGATTTAACATAATTAATAAAACAAAGTATTTAGTGTAGTGGCACTTAGGCCCATAGGCAATGTCTCTGACATTGGTGTGGAACCCCAGGGTTCATCTCCTGGGCAAGATCGAATGTTCTGTACTGTTTTCGACATATTTCTGACATTCATTAAACACATACCCTCGGGGTCTTGTGCATGCACATAAATCAACATCACATTCATTCAATTTTGCTTTTTTTGTCACGACAAATACATCAGAATGTGTTCCCTTTTCTCCACTCTACTTGATGGCCACTTGAGTCGCATAAACTGAAAAAGGATAAGTGCAAACGTACTGCTTAATGCTTAATGCTTAATATCACATTTTGAAACCGCCAAAACTGAGAGATGTAGTAGTGGAGCTGCCTTTTGAATGTTAAGCCCAAAAAAAGGTAAAACCCAGACAAAGTCGTAACAAACCAGAACAACACCATAAACCACACCATAAATAGAAAACTGGTTATTGACTGGTTAAAACAGTATAAAAAGCAGCTAATAGTAGTAATGTCTTATGGGTCATAATGGGTTTGGACCTACTGAACACATACATTAAATGTATACATTTTTTAAATGTAATGGAAAGTTCACTATTGAAAAAGTAAAAAAAAAAAAACAAGTTGGCATTTTCAGTGTGCGCAAGACTAGATTGAGTCCTGTCCATCTTATAGAACTTATCTTATTTACACGAATAATTTTTATAAAAAGGCTGCTTTGTGAAGGAACAACAGCTCGACTAACTGTGACGTCAACCTTAACACTGAAGTCAATGGCCATTAAATTAAGACTTGTGTTTTAAGCATGAAATACAGGTTAACCAGAAAGATGATGCAGATGGTTAGTGGTGGTTAGGCTGATTGAACACTGCATTGCCTTGGTACAAATGCGGGAGTGAGTGTTAATGGATGTTTGGAATAAAGGAATAAGCGTTTAATAGGAGAAGGAAGGATGGATGGATGAACTGATGTACAGATGAATCAATTAGATGAATGAATGGATTGATGGATGACTTGGTAATGATGAATGATTGGGACAAAAACAAACAGGAAAAAAAAACTCACCTCCAGCTGCTGCGCCCTGGGGTTCTTAGGGTCACAGACAGAAGTGTTAATCCTGTGGTTGGGTTTGACACAGCGCTGAGTTGTGTTCTGAGGCATAGGGAACGTCTGCCGCACCAGAGTCAGTCGACCGATTGACTTCATAACCAGCTCCTGCAAGTCGTAGTCTGAGATCTCCTGGGAAGAGAAGAATTAAGAAGTTGTCAGGTGGTAAGAATGGGTGAGGAAGAAAAGTCAATTTCTTAACACATTTTTTATTAGGAGTCCTCCATGTCTCAGTACATGGAAGTAGGGAGGAGGGTCGACAAATTGATGCATTCGCATGTGTCCAAGTTCATGTTACCTGCCTGTGTACATAGGTGCATGTTTGAGCATACAGTATCTGCATGCCCTTGTAAAACCTTGAGGTGGGGAATCATCGCTAACTTGGCTGTAGGACACATTTTTCTCTCGTCCTCTTCCTGTCCACAGATCCCTATCCATCCTCCGCCACTGCAGAGGGTCATGAGGTGATGAGATGAGGGCTGAGATTGGTTTTCCCCAGGGCGTAACACTGCCACCAACACGGACACTTTTTTCTTGCAATATGTGTACAACGATCGTGTGTGCATGGTGTTGTGTGCATAATTGCTAGTACTAAATACAGCATCTCATGAAATATTTCACTCCTGGTTCATTGACCCGGGGGGCGCTGAAAGCGCAGACTATTGGACATGTACATACTGTATCTAAACAAGCAGTAATGCTAACCTATAAATACAGACACCTTTATAGATTTCCCACCGTCAGTGAATATTCTAAATGTATGTTTGTATGTAATTAATGTTCATCAAGACCTTCATTAAGAGTCCTCACAAGTTGAGATCCATGGCGATTAGAGACTAATATACAGGCTTCACTGCAGTGGTACAGTCATCTGCTGTAATTAAGGTGATAAATAGCCTCAACACTACAAACGCATGTATTTGCGTCCACAATCGAGCAGATGCTGGAGGTAGTGCATCATATAATATATATATATACAGTATATATAGTGTAAGATATACAGTATGTCAACAAGGATGCAGCTATTCAAATCTAAAACAATCCCGAGAAACTAGATTAAAAATAGTGAGACAGATGGAGATAATTTAGGATTTTATAAATAGAACAGTGTCAATAAGTGCATTTTAATCCTGGTTAGAAGAAATGGTGATGATGTTACCAAAGTGACAATGTATACATCTTTGACTGTGACAAACAGCTGGAACAGTCGGTTGGATCCACCACAGAAAAAATATAAAATGTCAGTGTATGTAATACAGTCAACACATTCTACAATATAGTTCCCTGCTGTCCAAGTACAGTTCGGGTTTCTTAAAACTATGTTAGCTAACATACACTATTAAAACAAAAACAAAAAAACAATATGAGTAATAAAGAAAAAGAAGAAGAAATGTGATTCTTTAACCAGTTTAAGGGAATACAAATTGGCAAATTAAGCCACAAAATTATCACAATCAAAGAACAACAGTAATTTTTAGTCATTTTCATGTTACTTAATCTTTCATTCTGAGCACTTCACTTAAACATTCCCTAACCACTTAACCCAGGGGTTTCAAACTCAAATTCAGTGGGCCAAAATTCAAAACTGGGATGAAGTCTCGGGCCAAACTTAATATTTATTGAAAAAAACGTTCGTTTTGCGTAAATATTGAATCTGGAACAGCCAAAGCTTATTATAAACATGAGAAATTAAATTATAATAATAATATAAAACACATCAGTAGTATTCATTTCTTATTATGTCTCTTTATCTGTAGTCGTTCTTTTAATGTAAATCTTTTTTTCCACAGGCCACCAAAAAAATATATATATATATGCGCACTATAACATACCGCATATATACGCTAATACTACAAATTCTGCAGTATATAGGGTCTATATACTGGCGGGCCAACTTTAGTACATATTTGATATGGTCTATGGTGGGCCAAATATAATCACACTGAGGGCTGGATTTGGCCCCCGCGCCTGAGTTTGACACGTGTGACTTAACCTAACTATGATAAATATATGCATATTCCTAATCCTTAATCTAATTCTAATCTGACCCCAATTCTATCATGTTTAGTTTAGTTTATTTATAAGGGGACAGTTCAATTTCATAAAACGCATGATTACACATGGTTAAAAAAGCCAGAGTTAGCCAGAAGGCTAGTTTTCATCTGTAGTCCCCTGGCCATGATGTAAGAAGGCAGAAAGCACACACAATACTGTCACGTGTGGGCATCAACATGGCAGGAAGCAGGCAGGACCCAAATGCAGTACTGGTGCAGGTAGTTTATTTGAAGATTCTAAATTCCAAAAACCAGGACAGAAACATACGCAAAGTCGAGCAGAGCTGAGAACACAAACAGAGTTGAGCACAGCAACAGACTTGCTCAGGAACAAACTAGGAACAGCTACAACAAAAGCTCGACACAACGCTGGCACGAGTGTGATGACACAGATTACCCCACACAGCAGACAGCAGGAAAAGGAAACAGACAGACCTGACAGTACCCCCCTCCTAATGGACG